TGCAGTTCTGATGGTGGAATAAATTGTTTTCAAAAAATTCTTCATATAAACCTATAAAATACTGTCATTATTTGTAAAGGAATGTTTTCATAACTAAGGGGGTGCTCACTAGTTATTGTGTACTTTTGAGAGAGTTATGTATGGAAAGTGAGGTTGTTTGCATTTAAAACATGCATAGTGGAGAGAATGTTGGCATACCTATATACTACTTTCATGTAATGTGGATGAAATTTCTTTGGATATCGTACATTTGGAAATTGTGAATGATCTTAGCTCACTACTAACTAAACGACTGCTCCCTTGTGCTCTAAAAATTGGCCTGAATTTGTCTAAAGTACACTATCCTTAGCACATATTAAAATAGGAAAAATTAATTTTGCTAGATTAGACAATACCAGCTTCTGAAAGAGTAATGACTGAATTACCAAATATATAAATTGTAAAAATTATCAGCTCTTATTTTTACAATTTACCTCTGAGTTCAGGAAGAGAAATTGAGCAAGTGGAGCTAGCACTTTTTTGAGAGGTGCATATCTGGAATAAGGCCAAGCTGTATATTACACCCATCAATCATACAACTAAATAAAGGGAATTAAAGTTTTTTTTACACAATACCTAAGATATACAAGGTCTTTTTTAAATTGCCAGCATAACTAATGAGGATACCTGGGGAAATTCTTTTTCTTTAAAATTTATACCCTGTGCAAAATAGAAAACTGTAGAGCACCACAAGAAAAGAAAAAATTAAGAAAGTAGTCTCAGTGATTCATTTCTTCAGAATTAAACTTGTATACATCATTCAAGGAAATATCTTCCGTCATTTCATGGAGCATAGAAGTCTTTCATTGTGTACCATCCAGATGCTAACTTTCAAATTTCTTGGAATTATTATTTTTAAAGCATCACATTTTAAAATGCTGCAGCACTATAGTTATCAAAATATGTCTGTCTGTCTGCCTGCCAGTAAGTCTATCTTCACCATTTAAATCTCATGTCTCAGCAGCCACTTCACAAATTATAATACTACTTAGGGTAGTTCTTATACAACTGTAATTCAAATCACAGTACACCTGTAACAGACTTGGCAATTTTCCTCCTTTATTGGCATTATTGATAACTATAATAATATTTTAGTTTTAACATTGGAGGCTTTAGGTTCATAAGGTACTCAAGTTTATCACATGAAATAAAAGGTACTCAAGTTTATCACATAAAATAAAAGGTACTCAAGTTTATCACATGAAATAAAAGGTACTCAAGTTTATCACATGAAATAAAAGGTACTCAAGTTTATCACATGAAATAAAAGGTACTCAAGTTTATCACATGAAATAAAAGGTACTCAAGTTTATCACATGAAATAAAATCAGAATATGTAGCAGATTTTGGTCATACAGAAGACCTACAGTAGCCAATGTCAGGCAATTTGTTCTTGTTTTAAACAGATAAAACTGAAGAAAGAAGCTACTATAAATAAAATTACTAATCCTAAATTATATGTACAATATTTCTAGCATCAGTTTATTTCATATACAACTTTAAATTTGAGTCATGTGATGTTGTGAGGTAACATTTCTTTCTACTGATTCACATCTGTAAAGATTAACTTAAAGTTCCTTTTATTTATTTAAGCTTTTCTTTGAGAAGTGATCAGATTGAATATGAGCCATATATTCAGTCCAAAACATATTCATGCATTACCTTTGAAATGGATTCTTAGTTAACATTTTATTAAGTATTGTATTGATTACAATCTTATAGAACGTAACACATTTAAGTTAAGAATAAATTATTTCATGTAATGTTATTATCATTTATTCTTGTTTACTTATCTTTCTTCTGCTTTTTATAATTTATGAATCATTTCATTCTGCCTTTAATATTTTTTTATATGACTAAAAGTTACATATTTGTCTATGCAGACACCAGTAAAAATGGCTTGTGCTTGCATCCTGATGTCCTGACCAACTTGAAAAACTGTTGGCACTTTGTGGTCCATGATTTTTTTAAATTTTAGCATTACATTCTTTTTTCTGGTTAGCACAATACCTCAGTGATCATTTAAAACAAGTAGTTGCAATATCTTTGTATCTAATATAAAAATGTATATACATCAGTCTTTCTTTATTGTCCTATGTACTGAGTTGTAACAATTTTTGTGCTAGTTTTTTGTTGTTTTGTTTGTATATTTAAAAAAAATTTTCCTGCTTGATTTTTGTCTGTTTTGAAGCTCTCTGTCTGTATCTCATATTATCTATTTTAATTTATATTTTATGTTCCTCAGCAATAGAGCTCATGCAATTCTCTAATCAGTTTATGTTGCCTTTAAGTAAATATACTAGTTATCATGTCTCCATTTCACTTGATTATCAGCTTAGACAATTTTCAGCAACTACATGCATGTATGGTGGACAATTCATCCTCCCTGAGATCAAATTATTTTCAAGCTTTCTCCAGATTTCCTTGAAGAATACTCCAGCAAAGTTAATCAGAAAGTGTTGCCTTGCTTTTCAACAGGCTTTCTGCACTTGGAGAAATTGATATCCCATTCCCATGGAAACACTTTCATTTGTCACAAATGTCCTGACACTTGATTTAATTCATTTAGATAAGTTATGTCATTTATTTCCAGGCTTGGTGACTGGGACACAGAACTTCCCACTTCAGGCAAATGATTTCCTGTCCCCTTCAAGATACAAGAGCACAGCTTGAGGTAATTTGTTTTATGCTTTTATTTGTTTTTGATGTGTGACATGAAGGGTCCAGAATCCCTGGTCAATGAGGGAATTGTGAAACCAAACAGTTGCTGTCCTGATATGGGGTCCCCTGTCTTTGTTGTTCTCTAACTTCAGAGATTATTGATTGATGAAGAGGCTGGTGAAGTGGAGGAGTTTTATTACTTAGAGATGCCTGTTATTCTGATACATTAGCAGCCTCACAACATAGCCTAGCAGTGCACATCTCTCTCTCTCTCTCTCTCTCTCTCTCTCTCTCTCTCTCTCTCTCTCTCTCTCTCTCTCTGCATTGTACCATTTTCTATCTGAGACTTTATATGTATGTCCTGTTCAGTATAGTTGCATGTCTTTATCCCTGTGTTTTTTCTTTAACTCTATCCTTTTTATACATGTCTATCTTTCTTTCACCCTCTTCTCTCTCTGTGGTCCAAATATAGTTAATGTATCAGAATAACAAAATCATCTTTAGCTAAAAAGAACTCCTCTACTTTACCCATGATAGAAGTTTTTTTTATTGTACTGTTATGAATGTCATAACAAAATGCATTCATTATGTCCGGCTCATTGGCAGTTTTACACAATAATACATTGAAAGAGTGAAAGTTCAAATCCTACCATCAGTTGTCTTGTGTCATTTACCAAGGTGTGGCCATGGGCAAGCCACTTGATAGCTTGGCACACCATAGGGGCCCCGAGTGGTCCACTGGTCTAAAGCGCTATCCATTACGGATTACTGCCATCTCACCTCTGTTTGCATGGTCTAGGATTTGGTGAATGTGGATATGTGAGAAAGCTTGCCAGTAGCTTCTCGTGGGTCGGTAGTTCTTTCCGGTGATTTCCCGGTTTCTTCCTCCACCAATAATACTGGCCACCATGAATAGCCTATCGTGTGCTGAAAAATGGCGTTAAGCCCAACAACAACAACACCATACTAACCAAGCTACATTTGACAATGACATTATGCAAATTTGGACAATAGACATTTTCTAGAAATTATGTCCAGATATAAAATTACTTGTAATATTCAGACATGTTTTGAATCAATAAATTGTACATGTTCAGTAAACTAAAAGCCATTCTGAGTTGCCAGCTGGGTGCTGTATCAATTAAAAAGAATATATAGTTGGTTCTATTCAGTGGACAGAGAAACATATCAATGTTAATCAACCTTGTGACAATTTTGTTTATTACAGAGCATAGAAGGATCACTTTGTGGAATTTAAGGAAATTAAAATACGGAATTTTAATATTTATCAGCATATATAGACAATAGACAAAGTTCAAAAAGAAGTAAATTTTTGTAGGAAAAAAATAAAAGTGATCTTTCAGCATTTAGTTTCCAAACTCAGATAATTATAATTTAGTTTACAATCTCAGATAATTATGATCCTTGTTTAGCTAGTAGCAATTTTGAAACAAATTGTTTAACTTCTAAGTGACTGATTAATTTCATTATTACTATGTTTTGCACTTCAGAAATTTTAGAGAATTTCCACTCTGAATAAATATTATTCCAAGGTCCTCTTTTGTTGGGGCCCTGGGTGGGTGGGTGTAATATGCTCACCTTTACAGATCCCTAACACATCCAACCTCAATAAACAGGAATTCAAGTCTTGGATTGACCAATGTGGGTATATGAGAATGCTTGCCATTAGCTTCCATTGGGTCATTGTTTTTTTTTGTCCACCAGCTGCCATGTATAGCCTATCATGTGATGAAGATTAGTGTTAAACCCGACAAAACCAAACTAAATCATTTGGATAAATTTAATGATTTTGCAGGATATTATATTTCATATGTTAAACAAAATTTGAGCAATGAAGTTTATTTACGTCAATAAAACCTCATCTAATATTTTGTCAAAACCTCATCTAATATTTTGTCGCCCTTCACATGCATATTAACATCTCATAACTGTTCATATGATGTCAATTTAAGGCAATGGCATTGTGTCAGGCAATTGAATATATTTCAGACTCAGTTTACTGCATTCTTTATGATGTTAATTCAGGATTTTTTGTCAGTTTGTGATTTTGATTATTAACGTAGCTTTAAGAATTTTTCAGTCATATTGCTACGATGTCTGGTGTGATTGTTTATAGTGATATCTATCACCTGAGCATCATACTGCAGACATGTAGCATGATGTCCCACCCAGTCATATTATCCTGACACCAGGCCATCCAGTCCTAACACTAACCTCTTAATGCTGAGCACCAAGTGAGGCAGCTGTTAGTACCATTTTTTAAAAAGTATAAGTATGACTGTACTGGGGGTTTGAACCCACGACCTCCTGCATCAGAGGCAGATGCTCTAACCACTAGGCCACTGGAGCAGTCATTTTTTTTTTGTCATATGATATGCCAAAGTTTGGTAGGAGAGAGAGAGAGAGAGAGAGAGAGAGAGAGAGAGAGAGAGAGAGAGAGAGAGAGAGAGAGAGAGAGAGAGAGAGAGAGAGAGAGAGAGAGAACATGACACAAAAAGTAGGAAGCTTATGCATGAGTTATATTTTGAAATATGAATGAAAATGTTTGATCCTGTCAATCTGCCCTCTATTGAGGTTTCAGTTTTCTATTTAATGTGCATAAAGTTCAAAACATAATCCATCTTATCTCTGAAAAGCTCTAGAAAACAATTCTTGATATCTTTCATTCAATAGTATCTCTTCCTGTGGGGCACATAGGTAACCATCATCTGTGATTGCAACAGTTGATAGGTGAGGGGTTTTTTGCAAATTGTTTGTGCATACTTTGTTACAGAATATAAGAACACATAACCAACTTTCAGCTGTTACACATTTGTCTTAACTAAGACCAATGACTATCCAGCAATTTTACATACAAGCTGGACTCCACATGCTTTTCAAAGGATGTTATTATGAAGTCTTTTCATCTTCTGTGTTTAGGGTGTGAATGAAATAAAAGCCAAAACATCCCCATCTTATCTTTTAAGTAACCATACAAATCCCTAGCTTCTTGATATGACTGTCCTTTATCACACTGCCCCATACTAGGCCCAGTGTGAGTCTTTTAAACATCTGACTTTACTACTTAATGGGTAAAATAAGTCTTTGAGGAATAATTTATCCAGCCTGGAGCTGTGATTTGGTGGCAGGGAGATATGGTGTTGATTTACAGCAGCATGACACACCACTGAAGTATGTCAAATTGTATTCTGACCTTACCATATTTAGATGTCATTAATAAACAGATTTTAGATTATGTGATGTCTTGATTGGTCATTAATTGAAGAATTTATTCTTTACATTTTCTCTTTTCTAAAATTGTATAGTTGCAAGTATTGGAAGTTTTAATTGTACAACATTTGTGTAAGTTATGGTAAGTTTAGAATTTGCAACATATAGGTTATTTTCTACAAATAGCCAAGACATCTCTCTCTCTCTCTCTCTCTCTCTCTCTCTCTCTCTCTCTCTCTCTCTCTCTCTCTCTCTCTCTCTCTCTCTCTCTCTCTCTCTCTCTCTCTCTCTCTCTCTCTCTCTCTCTCTCTTTCTCTCTCTCTCTCTCTCATTTGCTTCTTTATAGTCTTAATTAAATTAAATCACTGTTTCAGACATACTTTGTATTACAGCAGAAACCTTGGCCTAAGCAATTTAAAAGGTGTGAAAATTTCTTTGCATTTATCATATCTAGTGGTAATCATGTAATCTTCCTGATAGAAGCAAGGCTTTTATATCTGTGTGGTAAGATGGTGAGCCATTACCTGAGGTGTAGGTGTCAACATTTGGTATAGCCATTAGATGTAGAAAAAACTCCTGAGGTGGAACATATTGGAACTGTCATTTTCATTACTCAAGATCTCACTGTCCTAAGGTCAGATGTGTAGGGCATCTTTCACACATAAAGAAATTATCATGCCAACAATTTTGGAGAATTTGTGATGTCAAAATATTTTAAATTTTTACCTAGTAACATTTATTATTTATCAAAGACTTGAATTTTGTACATTAAAAAATCTCAGTTACATTTTATATATTAAATATTGACAGATTTTGTTTATATTAATTCCAGTTGATAGCATTTCTTTTCCATTGAACATGAAAGGAAATAAGGCAGAATTTATTTCCAAATATTCGGATAAAATCAAAGTTTTATTACTGTATCTTCCTCTTCCAGAAAATAATACACTGATAATTTGAGACATTTACATAACTATATATATATATATATATATATATATATATATATATATATATATATATATATATATATATATATATATATATATATATATATATATATATGAAATATTCTGTTTTCTTATTACATATTTAAGATCCTATTAAAATTGTATGTTTCTATTATTTTATTATTTCGATATTTGGTGTCAGTTTTAAAGTTTTAAAAATGTGTGTTATTTGGCTTGTGAAAGTTTTTTCCTTTACAGATGAAGGTAATCTCATTCAGTGGTATACAGTTATTATTTTGTTTGATTCAGACTATGAATGAAATAAAAGTTTTACAGCAGCAAAATTATACATACATATGCTGTGGCATATTAAGTACAGTCATAGAAATAAACCTACGGTGCACAGACCAAAAAGGTGATTACACCTATTAGTCACCAGTAATATAATTCTCTTCCCCAGTAAATAAAATGAAAATGTCATTTTGTTTAATTTCTACATAATGTTCATGTAAAACAGAGCAATTTTCAAGTGAAATTAATTAAGCAGGACAAATGATGAGACTGTCATCCAAAGATATATCTGACATTTGCTGTCAGTGATTTTTAACTACTCCTTGGTATTATGAATAATTTATACTAATTTCATTACCTGTAATTTTGCAGTTTTACTTTGGCCAGGTTAATAATTGATAATTGACCAAATTGTGTTTTACAGTTGCTATTCTGTGGCAGTGTTTGAAGTCAGTCCCCTATGGGAAATTAGGTTGGGGTCCAGTGCCAATGGCATGGTGGTCTCTGTTGGCAAAAGTCTTGAGATCAATAGAGTGAGAGAGGTGATGTGTTTTATCCAATTACACATACTAACTCTATAGCACAGTGATGATTATCTCGAAGTGAGATACATGAAGACACCACAAATTGTGACACTGGGATGCAGAGTGAGGGAATAGGCATGTAAATACACTCTCATTGCATTTCAAGACTCTTAGTTTACTTCTGAGTAGAAGGCATAATTCACATTGAACCACACATGTATTATATGACACAGACGATCAACAGGCAGGCTACAGTATTTAGGACAGAGGTAACTTTATACATATTTATATATTTTATGGCATTTGTTCAGCTTCTTTAAATGACTTGAATGAGTGGTAACAAGAGAAATAGTTATTAGTAGTGAGTCCTTTGGCCTATTCCAGCCCTGTATTTGGACAGGCATATTGGGGGTGGGGGTACTATGCAAGTATGTAACACAGGTATGGAAACATCTTCTCTAGCCAAGTCTCCAAAATGTTAACTTATCAACACCTTGGCAGATCGATCAGATATTTCATTGCTTTGTCCTACTGACATCTATTGGATTTTGTGAGTTACCTCCCTTAGTATGTAATGCCAACTTGCCATAAGCATGTAACTGGTGTATTGTATATTGGCCAAAAATGGGGAATGTAAAGGATACTTAGTAAATTTAACATCAAAAGTATGACTACATATCAGAGAGAAGCCATTAAAATGTATTTGTGGGAATAAATGTGTTGGGGCATACATGGATCAGCAGTGGAAAATTGCTTATTTATGAGTCCATTCTGTTTGTATACTCACCTTCCAAATCATGTAGGAACAGTGTTCAAATTTGAACAACTAATTAATTCAATGCAGTGACTTGCTGCAGCATCCAATGCAATTCATGGACCTAAAGCACTGAAATATCTTATCAGTCTGCCAAGGTGTAGATAGGTTAAGATATCAAATATTGGCTGTTGAAGATGGGTTGGAAAGGTCAGAGGAAACTTGAACTAATCCAAGTCCTATTGTACAAGTGTAGATAGAATCAGGGGGCATAGATAATTTAATAGAGTGCTTCTATCCCAAATACCTTAAACTTTATATTATTTAATCTGCAGAATGTTTTAACTGTCCAGATTAAAGTAATGGCATATTAGTTAGTTTTAATTGTTATACAGTCAAATTTATGTATATCTAGCATAAACTTTGCTCATGTTCTTTAGAATGAAAATCTTTATTATAATCCACAACTATTGTACGAAAAAGCTGCCTTCAACAGAAAAATTACTTGGTTTGTAACAAAACCAAAAGTAAAATTCATTAGTTTATTTAAAGGTAGATGACATATTTGCCAAGTAATTTGACATTTTTTTGTTGTAATTTATGGATAGTATATGAGATATACATTCAAAAATGTAGAAGTAACAATGGACCTCAAATGTGTTTCATGTAATTTAATTTTTAGTAAATGGTTGTATAGACCTGAACAAGAAACAGTAACAATAACTGTCATATCTGTCCAAAATACTTGTGCCTGGTAATGTTAGCAGGCACTAGTATAGTCAATGTATTATGAAAGTTTGCTTATATTATTGTCTGTTACAAAAACCCATTTTATTTTAGGGACTCTGGACAGGAACACAAATATTTGTTATGGTATTTAGCTTAAGAGCTACCATATATAATCCCATATGATGCCACACTAACTTTACACATAGTTATCAGGTATAAGACTTTAAGATGCCCAGGCCACTGCAACACTTCAGACAAGCAGGAAGTGTCCCATCATAAGCCATTAAATCAGGGTAAATACACTGTTTAAACAGAAGCAGTGACACCTTTATTTAAAATAGCTGATATGCATATAAATTTTCATTTCTGACATTTGTATGGGTGATCTGACATCTGTTTATCAGAAAATTTTTTGATTGAATATAGTAGAAATGATAGAATAGTTCCCATATACTATGTAAGTATTTTTAAATAAGTAACTGCACCCTCTATTTTAAGGGTATTTAGAAAAAGGGCAACAGGAAGCCCCAGACAGGTGCATGCTTATTGCTGCTTAGTAAGAGTTTGAAGTTCTATATCCAGGTAATTGTTGGGGTGGGATATAAGTCACAAGATGATTTGATTTGTCCTCCTTATCTTATTGTTATTATCCACATAAAGTGCTATGGAGAGAAAATAGCAGTTCACATTACATGTATCAGCTTTGTGAGATGTCTTTGTTGATTGCCTCTGAATAAAGTATTGATATGTGCTGGATGCTATACAAGATAAGGGTTTGACAGAATAAGGTTAACTACTTGTTTGGAATATTAAAATATATCTTGAAATAAAACCTATCTCGGTAGACTTTTACCTCAGGTATTAACATTAATCCAAAAAATTTGA